ATGCTAAATTCTAATGTTCCTATTCAATTCTAAGGAACACCATCCACAGAGCTATTTATCTTATCAACAAAGTTTCTGTACGGATTTTAGACATGAAAGCTCCTTTTAACCTGTTATACCCTAATAAGAACCAATTTACTATTCCCCTTAAGACCTTAGGGTGAACTTGCTTTGTTTAAATCATTGGACCTTACAATTCTAAATTTGACCCTAAGGAAGTCAAGTGTATCTTTTTTGGGTATGCAAAATCAAAATGGGTATTATTGTTATGATCATGTCTCTAGGACTCGGTTTGTGTCTATGGATGTTAGTTTCTTTGATGAAGTCCCTTATTACTCCAAGATTTCATTTCTAAGGGAGCGTGGTGAGCGGGGTGTTTTCTCAGGAAGTTCTATTACCTATTCCTGTCACTAAAGGGGAATGTAGTGAGGGGGCTATTAGAAGTGCAAGGAGTTGAGTGTTTTACAGGCGATGGTGGAGGCAGGTTAGTTCTAGTGATAAGCAGTCCAGGCCACTTCTAGTCTCTTCTATGGCTCTAGATTCAGGTATTACACTCTTTGTACCTATAACTATTGTAGATGATATGCCTATTACCACCATTGAAACTCAACCTCCCACAGATGATCTTGACCTTCCTATCGCAATACACAAAGGAAAGCATTGTTGCACCTTATCTACTGTCCATTGCATCTCTCAATTTCTTTCTTATGACCACCTTTCACCATCATATAAGCCTTTTTTGGGGTCCATTGCTATTATACCCATTCCCAAAATTGTGTAGGAAGCCTTGGTAGTACCTAAGATGAAGAAAATAATGAAAGTTGAGATGGATGCATTTATCAAAAATGATACTTAGGAGCTAGTAAATCAGCCAAGAGGAAAGAAATCGATTAGGTGTGGATAGATATTTAGAGTGAAGTACAATGTAGATGGCTCAATTAAAAGATACAAAGTTTAACGAATTGYTAAGGGATACATACAAACTTATGCTATTGATTATGTAGAAACTTTTGCACCAATTGCCAAAATGAACAAAATCAGAGTATTGTTGTCACTTGCTACAAACTTCTCATGGCTGTTGTTCCAAATGGATGTAAAAAATGCTTTCTTGAATGATGATCTATAGGAGGAACTATACATAGAGTTGCCCCTATGCTTCTATAATGTACATAGTAGAAGTCTACCGATTGAAGAAGGCCTTGTATGGTTTGAAATAGCTTCCAAGGGCATGTTTTGACAGCTTTAGACATGCCTTGGAGAAATTTGGCTATGTACAGGCTCAATCTGATCATTTTCAAGAAAACAGGTTTAGTCTTAACTCTCCTAGTTGTATATGTTGATGATATTTTGGTGATAGGCAATGATAGTAATAAGATTAATTCTTTCAAATAGTTACTTAGTGAGGAGTTTGAGGTAAAGGATTTGCAGGATTTGAGATATTTTCTAGGAATTGAAGTGGCCAGATTTAAGAATGGCATCTTCATATCCAGAGGAAATATGTCCTTGATCTCCTAGAAGAAACTAGAAAATTGGGAGTTAAACTAGTAGACACACCAATTGAGCCAAATCATAAGATAAATGTAGAAGGGGGTGAGCCACTTGAAGATAAAACCGTGTATCAACGACTGATTAAAAAGCTTATCTATCTCTTTCTAACATGCCTAGATAATTCTTCTGTTGTCAGTGTTGTTAGTCAATATATACAGTCTCCTAGAACATCCCATCTCCTTATAGTTGAGAGGATACTTACATATTTGAAGAGGTGTCCAAGTAGATGTATACTCTTTAAGAATAATGGTCATATGAAGATAGAAGTGTACACTAATGCAGACTGGGTTGGATATGTTGATGATAGGGTATTATGCCCTTATTGGGGGCAATCTTATTTCTTGGAGGAGTAAGAAACAAAACGTTGTTGCCTACTCTAGTGTTGAAGCATAGTACATATTTATGGCTAATGGGGTATTGAAGTCTTATGGCTAAGATCACTAATTGAGGAGTTAGTGATTGAATATGAAAGACCCCTAATGCTATTTATTGATAACCAAGATGGTATTAATATTGCTCATAATCCAATATATCATTACGGGACCAAATATATTAAGGTGGACCAACACTTTATTAGAAAAAGAGTTGCCTCTCAAGAAGTGTGCCTTTTTTATGTTGCCTCAGATATATAGCTTGTTGATCTCTTCACCAAAGTTGTTACAAGGGTCAAGTTAGAGACTCAATTATGCAAATTGGGAATTACCAATATATATTCCCAACTTGAGGGGGAGTGTGGAAAAGCTGTCCAATAAATTAGTGTTGTCCTTGCCTTATTAGTTGATGTTTTCTATTAGTTGTTATTAGTCCTTTTGGGTCATTTTTAGTTGTTGTTATTGTTATTGTTATTATTTGTTAATTATTGATTTAGGTAAGAACGGGCATATATGTCATTGTAGTTCTCTTTGTAAAAGAAACATATAAATAACAATTTTGGGAGGTAGAAATAGATTAGATCTACTCCTTTCTTTTCTCATTCTTCTTCTCTTCTCTTCTTTTCCTCTCTTCTTTCTTCTTTCTTCTTTTTTCTATTTTACCCTTATTTTTTCTTGTTTTCTACTTAAATTACACCAGAGTAATGGCCAAAAAATAATAAATAAAATAAAAATAAAATATTAATAATGAAATATTTTTTAAAAATTAATAGTTAACTAGTTAATACTAATTAATTAGTCATCTAATTGTATAATTAATTAATTATATATGTATTATTTAATTACCTATTTATAATTATTTAAGTATCTAGTAATGATTATTTTATTATTTATTTAATTATTTAATAACTAACTATTTTAATTAATTAATTAATACATAATTTTTACTTATTTAAAAAAATTAATAATTTACAATTTTTATTTTATATTAATTTAATTAATTGTCAATTAGTTTTTTAAATAGTTAGACAAACCTTCTCATATCTAGGGTTTAAATGGTCAATTGTCATTGCTTAGAACTCGACATTTAGACTTCAGAACCAAGAAAAGTTCACCAACTCCAATACACCTATAAATGTAATTGGTACTACTGTTTCATAGGCATTCTGTTATCAGACTTAAGTGCAAATGAACAAGCCCTTAGTTAAATCCCTCTTTGTTCATTAAGTGACTGTGGAGTCCGATTGCCTGCTTCTTGTCCAAGTTACGTCTAGTGGAAAGAGTGAATTACTTGCATATGCTTTTTTTTTTTTTTCTGTTGAAAGGACATCTTAGCTGAAGTTTCTAGCCTAAATGCTCCTTTTGTTCATGTAAATAGGAGTAGAAATATGGTTGCCCATATGCTAGCAAGGAAGGATCTAGAAGAGTCTGGCTTCTTTGTGAATGAGTGTTTAGGATGGATTCACTCTCTACCAGTCCAAGAATCTAATAGAACTTTATCTTAATGTTGTTATTTCGTTGCTCATTTTAATGAATTTTCCCATTAAACAAAAAAAATATACTTACACATACACACATATAGAGACATTCAATCTCAAAGAAAATAAAACATAATCTATAAATATCACATATTCATCACTAATTCATAGTCTAACTTCACACACATTCCACAGTTTAATTAAATGCAATCTCAATGCAAATAGAATACAATCTAAAATCAGCCCAAATAATATAACATAGGCTATGTTTGGTTTTGTTGGAATTTATTAGAAAACGCCACCACATTAGTGCCACTTAGGCGTTGGCATTTATTGTAAATGAAATCATTGTTTGATTTCAATGTTTATCAAATAAACATTAAAAAACAGAAATGTTTGGATTTATGTGTGCATGAGGCATTAGGGGAAACTTCAAATTTTGGTTTCTCCCAACGCCCCAACATTTACTGAAATGAAATGCTTACCCGAAGCATTGTAAGCTGAGGTGGAAGAYAGCTTTATGGGGTGTTACTTGAAACGTTCATGAAACATCCAACCAAACAACAAAAACAATGAATGTTTAAAGTAACACTTTACAATAAACATAACACCCCATCTATAAATGCCCACGAAACCAAACACATAATTATTAATCCATCATTTAAAACTGTGTGGTAAGTTCAAATTAGTTATACCCAAACTAGTTCAACCAAGGCCAATCAAGGTTAGTTATCTAAATTGGTTCATGTAAGATAAACCTCTAATACCCCATACTCAAACTAGGTGGGGGTTATTTTCAAGAATTTAAAACAGGATCCTAACAAATAATTCTGGAAGGTTGGATGGAAGTTGGTTTCAGTTGGTTTCGGTTAGAACATAGAATTGACGCATTTAATCACCCCTACATGTAGACTTATGACCATGCATTCAACATGGAAAAATCAGTTGGAGTAGCTCTAGGCTAAAACTAACTTTGAATCACGACCATGGTTTAAGAAGGGTGGAGGTTAGTCCCAAGAATTTGAAACTTAACCCTACCTAATAAGTAATAACCTGAAAGGTTGGATGGTAATTGGTTTCAATTGGTTCCGAAACTTACAACGACTACATTTAATCACCCTACGTGCATGTAGATTTATGTCCATGCATTCAACGTGGAAAACCTTGAATCACGGCCTTGATGTACTGCTGTGACGGCCACAGAAATGCATCTAAGGGTTAGAGACATGAAGCAAAGTAAAGCTAGTTGCAGACAAATATATTATATAAATATAGGCAATACATTAAATTAATTAAATTAAGCAATTCTAAATATAGACAGCCAACGTTTCTCTCTCCCTGATCTCCATTTTATCTCCTCTTTCGGGTTTCCTGACTTGTTGTTTTGTTTTCTCCACCTTCCTCGCTTCTCGTTTTCTTCGCATGATATCGCTGGCAAAACCAACGTCACCCATCCATCTCTGTGCCGATGATCACCCCTCCATCCTCACCTCTCGCGCCGGATATCTGATGACATTTCCTCGCCAGACTCTGACTCCCAACCCTTCCCCCCGGCGCCCTCCATTCCACCTCTCCAATCCCAATTCGGGATCAACCGTTCCACATGGTCCATCAACACACCCGCCGCGACTCCATTGGAGGCTCCTCGACGACTTCCCGATCAGAATACAACTTATCAGCAGAAGGCGATCTCGATTGGCCCTTCGGCAAAATTGAGGGGATCGACCGAGATGATTTGAGAGAGACGGCCTACGAGGTTTTCTTCACGGCATGCCGCTCGTCTCCAGGGTTCGGAGGGAAGAACCCATTAGCGTACTACTCGGCACATGATAACGAGGATGCCGGAGGCGGCGGTGGTGCTGGGACCAAACCTAATTGCCCAAGTTTGTCCGGAACCAGTAACACAAAGAGATTGCTTGGGTTGAAGTCGGTGAAGCGTCTTTCTTCGCAGAGGAAGACGGGTGGATCGAACCCGTCGTCACCGAAAGCTGGCGGCTCCCCACCTTCCAACACCAGGATGAACCATGGTTTTAATTTTAACACCGCGCCACCCATGAGGTCGAAGCGGCCGTTGACATCGGCGGAGATCATGAGGCACCAGATGGGGGTGTCGGAGCAGTGCGACAACAGGCTTAGAAAAACCCTCATGAGGACCCTCGTTGGCCAGGTATGTATGTGTTTACACTTGGATGGAGTGCTCTTTTCCTCCTGGAATCGCACTCACATGCACCTTCCGTGGTGATTCCGCCGTCCGCCGGTGCGCTCGGTTCAGGCTTTCAGGCTAAACGTTGTATCAAAAATCAAAATCAAACAACGTGAACAAGCTTTCCGGAAAATAAACAAACAACTATCACACCACCTTTTATGGCTTATTCTATTCCTCCATGGCTGGTAAACACCAAGGTAAAATGTCTAAAACATCTATTAGGATTTGGGAATGGCGGGGATTATATTCTGATATTCCCCCATCCATTTTGGATTAAATCCCCGATCCCGATCCCGATCCCTGACGGGATGGGTTCTCGTGGAGACCCGAAGCCTAAAAATTTTTTAATTTATATATATATATATATATATATATATATAATATCATATATAATAATATATATTTAATATGAATGATATTTAATATATATAATTGGGGTCAGGGCGGGGTGGGGATCTCATTCCCCATCTCCGACCCCAACTTCAGTCAAGGATCGCTATTAAATTAATCCCTGTCCTCATTCCGCTAAAGCAATCTACATCCCGAAGTCGTGAACCTGTTGGGGATGGGGAAAATTGCCATCCTTATTTTTCATTTAATGTTGATTTATAGAAAATAATTATTGTTAATTTAATATGAACAAATATTTTTAATAAATTTAATTTTATTAATCATTTATAATAATTTTAATAACTGTTATTATTTTCATTATTTTTAAATGAAATTTTATTCGACATTAAAATTATGAATGGTGTCTAACAGTTTTAGACTCTCTTTAACAAAAATATCACTATTTTTGAATTTAGTCTCTTTCTATTATGAAGGTAGAAAACATAATTTGGGTTGTAACTTTTTACCTCTCATTAAGGCCTAAATTTAATGTATTAATGATTTAATTCCAAATTTCTTTCATTGAATCTTATATTTAAAGAATTTTTATTTTTATTTTATAGTATAGAGTTCTACTAATTTATAATAAAAGCTTCACTAATTAAACCCATAACCATTATTTTAACATTATAGAAACCTAAACCTATTTAAAATCCCAACTAATAAAAATAAAACTATTTTCCAATGATGTCATAATAAATGGATCAACCCATTATGTTATAATTAAATAAAAAATAAAATAGAGATTACATCATAGGTAGCACCCGAGCCTATCCACTTTTTATTCTTGAATCTAGGATCGCATTAGTAATTAGAAATTTAGAATCTCAAAAAGAATTTGACAACCTTCAACAAAAGTGCCTTGAGACTTGGAGATTACATCCCCCCAAACATTCTTAGTTCTTTTAGATGACACTTTAAAATGATTTTGTACATTTTCCCCATTTGGTTGATGGGCTAAAGTCCTTGAACTCTGATGCACCCTTTTCTTGAGAATCAATGGAATCAAAGTGGCATTAAAGCTTATTTAATTTCTAAAGCACCATTTGATTGAAAGTCCTCCATGACCTTCATAAATTCATTCTTGACTGCACTACAACAAATCTTATAAAACGCCATTGATGTAATGTTGAGTTCAAAAAATAGTTTTAACAAGTATATAGTATGCAGAAGGTCGACTAACTAAAAGTTCAGCCTAGGCAACCAACAACAATTTAGAGTTGAGAATATGGTATTAGGTCCTTAATTTAAAATGGATTTTTGGCTATGACATTCCTTGAATTTAAAAAAAAAAAAAGAAAAGTCACTTTAGACCCTAAAGAATTAAAAGGGCCATTTTCACCCTCCAACTACGATGGAAAGACCACTTTAAGGAATAAACAAACAACGTTAGAGATGCCATTGACAAATCCATTAGACAATAAATAAAATAATAAACACATGATTATGTGGTACTACTCAAGTTTTAAAAGAAAACTTTTGACCCTAAAGTTTGAAAAGCAATTAGATGTTGAAAAATAAATTTTATTAACCGTGAAGTAAAGGACATTATCAAGTTAGAGTTATTAAATTAACAACAGTTAATTTAATAGTAAATCATTAACAACAATTAAAAGTAAATTATTACTTAAACACTAACTTAATTACCTTAAGTAATATTAGTTAACAGTTACTTAATTTACCAAGTTAACGTAGCTAACTTAGTAACTAAATTTGCTTAGTTAAACAAATTCACTTAATTTCTTTAATTAATTTAATTACTTAATTAATAGTAACTTAATTTACTTAATTGACTTAATCAATTGGTTAATTTACATAGTTGGCTTACTTTTCTTAATTTTCTTAATTAGTGCAATTTATTTAAGTTGATTACTCTGTTTACTTAGCTTAACTTATTTAGTCAATTAACTTAATTGCATGGTTTTGAAATCATCATTGATCCAGGTGATTAAACTGCTTGACCCAAGAATCGATCAACTGTCTGATTCTATTTTATACTTGGTCTGGATTTTTTCAAAAAAAAAAAAAAAAAGCAAACCATGGCTTGGTCAGCAAACTGTTGATCTAAATGGTTGAGCTGCTCTCGGTTTTCAAATCATCATTGACCTAGATGGTTGGACCATTCAGCCCAAGAATCGGTCAGGAGACTAGTTACAGCACTACCCCAAACTACTCTTTGGCAAAATACCATTGCATTGGTTAATGGCCTGCTGACCTAGGCGGTCAAACCATCAGCAATTTTTTAAGTTGTTACAAGTTGATCCATTCAGACAAGAAGATTGAACCGTTAGAAACTAGTGACCAAAGTGGTTCAGTTTTCGAATCAGCTTTTAAAATATTGCTTAATTGTGTAAGTTTACTTATTTAGATTTTACTTAATTAACTTAGGTTATTTAATTAATTTAATTTACTTGTTCAATTGCTTAATTTACATAGTTGGTTAATTTACTTAGTTATCTTAATCAATGTAATTTATTTAATTTAGCTAATTAACTTCATACCATCATAGATCTTGAAGTAATTTACTTAGTAAAGTGGTTACTTTCAAACTTGATTAGTGCCACCTAAGAATGTTTTTATTATTTTATTCATTGTCTAACAGATCTATAAACTACGTCTTTACCATAATTTGTTTTTGCCTTAAAGTGGCCTTTTCATCATAGTTCAAGACGAAAATGGCCATTTTAATACTTTACTACAGTCTAAAGTGATTTTTTTTTTTTTTTTTTTGCAAAATTCAAGGGTTGTAAGAGCCAAAAATCTAATTTAAATAGAAACACATTATCATAAGATTGCAATTCAAGCCTTTTAAGCTTTAATTAGGGGGAAAATAGATCATACTAAGTATATAATCAATACTAAAATGCTTCTCGAAGCTTCAATAATTTTCTAAGAGTATGCAGACAATTAGTGCTATATTGAGTTGTAGCATGTGACTCTGAGCATGCCCTTCCCTATGTTTTTTCCTATAGTGTATTTTCTTGATCAAATTTGATAGTTGCTAAACCAATTGTTATTATCTTATTTGTTTCCGACAGATGGGTAAGCGACCTGAGACAATCATTCTTCCTCTTGAGCTCCTTCGCCACCTAAAACCATCTGAATTCAATGATGCCCATGAATACCATCTTTGGCAAAGGCGTCAATTAAAAGTTCTTGAAGCAGGTCTCCTCCTTTATCCTGCAATCCCAATAGACCGATCAAACTCTTTTGCAATGCATCTCAGGGACATTATTCAAGAGAGTGAGATCAAACCTATTGACACTGGAAAGAACTCTGAAGCCATGAGAACATTATGCAATTGTGTTGTTTCATTGTCATGGAGGAGTGGTCATGGATTCCATGCAGATGCTTGTCATTGGGCAGATGGTTTTCCCATTAATGTCCACTTGTATCTTGCACTCCTCCACTCTATCTTTGACATGAAGGATGAGACATTAGTCCTTGATGAGGTTGATGAGCTACTTGAGCTCATAAAGAAGACATGGTCTACACTAGGAATTGACAAGTTAATACATAATGTATGTTTTACATGGGTCCTATTTCAGCAATATGTTACAACATCACAAACAGAACATGATCTGTTATGTGCTTCTCTTGCTATGTTGGCTGAAGTGACAAATGACGTTAAGATATTTGATAAAGAACTCATGCATGTTAAGATCTTGTCAGTAGCATTAACTTCAATGCAGGGTTGGTCAGAGAAGAGATTGCTTGATTATCATGAAAACTTTCAGAAAGAGACAAAGGGACTTATGGAAAACCTTCTCTCTGTTGCATTATCAACTACAAAGATATTGCAAGAAGACATTGCAAACCCTGAAGTAGAGACACCAAAGAAAGAGGATACTTCTATAAACTCTATGGGGAATAGGGTGGATTATTACATCAGGTCATCCCTAAGAAATGCTTTCACCAAGGTACACAGAACTAGAGTTTCTATCTAAATAGGACTTTAAAATTTAGTTTTAACTAGTTCAATACATATATAGTACTTAACTAACTAACATTTTTTCCTTTCTTTCACCTCTTTTTTGTAATGATCAAAAGATCTTAGAAAATGAGAATGCAAATAGCATGACTACTGAAGCAGAAGAAGATGCCACTGAAGCTATCCTTCAATTGGCCAAAGAAATAGAGGAATTAGCCATAAAAGAGAAGCAAACATTCAGTCCCATACTGAAGAAATGGTACCCTATTGCAGCTGGAGTTGCTGTAGTGACCCTACATAGTTGTTATGGAACTGTATTGAAACAATACATGTCTGGAGTTTCCAACCTCACAAATGAGGCCATTAGGGTCTTGCAAAGAGCAGGAAAGCTAGAGGATTTTTTGGTTCAAATGGTAGTTGAAGATTCTGTTGACTGTGAAGATGGGGGCAAATCTATGGTAAGGGAAATGACACCATATGAAGTTCACTCCACCATATTGAACCTCTTAAAAGGTTGGATTGATGAACGGTTGAAAATATTAAAGGAGTGTCTTGAGAAAGTCAAGGAAACTGAGGTAATTATCTTGCTATCTAACACAACACCATAGTAGTATTGAGCTAAAATGTTGAAAATCCTGTATTGCTTAGCTTCCTTTTGTCCAAACTAAAGAATCAAATTCATCTTATAAAAGAATTATAGTTGAACATGGAGACCTATTATTGCCCATATAATCTTTGTTAACTAATAACTCAGGACCAAATTTGATTTTGTTAGGTGTTGTGAGACTAATCAATTGTGATATTTTGTTTCAGACATGGAATCCAAAGTCCAAAACTGAGCCTTATGCGCATTCAGCCATTGAGCTGACAAATCTTGCCAAGGAAACTATAGAAAACTTCTTTGAGATCCCTGTTGAAATATCTAATGACTTAGTTCATGATCTAGCTAATGGCCTAGAATTGCTCTTTCAGGACTACACTTCTTTTGTTGCATCATGCGGTAAGTATCCCTTCCTATATCTACAAGAGTTTAAAATGGATGGTTAAGTTCTTATGTTTGCATATTTTTCTTACTAATCTCTAATCATACTTTGATGAATAGTAGTACATCTCTAGTTCTACTAGTGAGCAATGTATTAGCATTTCTCACAACTTATTACAAAGAGGGCACTTTGCTTTCCCTTGTTAAAGTGATGTTGGAGAAGCAACTACTTCATTGATATCTTATGAATTTTCCCATTTTTGAGGCAAAAGTTCAATAACAATTGTCTTTGTTTTTCCTTGTTTTCTTAGGATCAAAGCAGAACTACATCCCTTCATTGCCCCCTCTTACCAGATGCAGTCGAGACTCAAGGTTTCACAAGTTATGGATGATAGCAGCCCCTTGCAAAGCTGGAGTAGAAGCTTTTCAACCAGATGGATTCATAGATGGTCAAAACCCTCGGCCATCGACTAGTCGTGGGACACAACGCTTGTACATCCGCCTCAACACCTTGAACTACCTACTTACGCTCCTCCATTCCATTGACAAGATTCTCTCCCTCTCACCTCATACAACATCCCAATCACTCAACCGTGTTCCTAGCAATCGCCAAAGCTTTGACACATCATCACCTTCCTACTTTGATGCTGCTCGATCATCTATTCAAGAAGCCTGTCAACATGTCTCAGAGGTGGCTGCTTATCGTCTTATATTCCTAGACTCAAACTCTGTATTCTATGATAGCCTCTATGTGGGTGATGTTGCAAATGCTCGTATCCGTCCTGCATTGCGCATTCTCAAGCAGAACCTAACCCTCTTAGCTGCAATACTCATTGATCGAGCTCAACCTTTAGCAGTAAAAGAAGTAATGAAAGCTTCTTTTGAGGCCTACCTCATGGTATTACTTGCTGGGGGAAATAGTAGGGTCTTCACAAAGTCAGACCATGAAATGATTGAAGAGGATTTTGAGAGCCTCAAGCGTGTATTTGCCACATATGGAGAGGGATTAGTTGCTGAGGAGGTGGTGGAAAGGGAAGCAGAGGTAGTAGAAGGGGTGGTGGCACTGATGGGTCAATCCACAGAGCAAATAGTGGAGGACTTCAGCATTGTAGCATGTGAAGCAAGTGGGTTGACAGTTGCTGGTGTAGAGCAGCAACAGTTACCAATGCCCCCAACCACAGGAAAGTGGAATAGAACAGACCCAAATACAATCTTGAGGGTGTTATGCCATAGAAATGATAGTATAGCTAATCGCTTCTTAAAGAGGACATTTCAAATGGCAAAGAGAAAATGAAAAAAAGAGGATGATTGACAGAGTAACAAGTTCAATCACCTTCATTAGCACCACGTTATGTACCATTATCATATAGAATTTAGCTTTCACTCTATGTAAGAAAGAAGATGAAATAGAAGTGAGGCAAATGTATATACTATTTTAATTAGTTGACTACTTCTCATATTTTAAAATTTTGTTATGTACTTAGAAAACATGATATTGGTTTTGATTTTCTTTCCTTCAATTGGTTTTCCAACAATAATACAATGATCATAGTTAACATAAAACTTAACCACAAAATGGTTAGAAACATTTCTCAATTTGTGAATCGTATATAAAATGTGCAATCCGTGCCTTAGTTTATGTTCTTCACTATAAGCTATGTACTCCACTTTCTCAAATTTAAACCAACTTAAAATTAGTCTATAATGACTATAAACATTCTACCCATGAGAAGATTTATAACTTGAAGCTACCTTTTGGGCTGACAATCTTGACTCCAACTCATTTGACCCACCCAACCCATCCATCTTGGAACCCACCCATACCCACTCAATCTATTGGAGGGTCAATATGGGTTGAGTAACCCATTAGGGTCAGTGGAAAAGGGTCAGGGTGGGTTGGGTCAAGGGTACCCATTAGGGTTATGATGAGTTGCGTTAAAGTCAAGTCTATCTATACTCACCAAATAAGCACCGCCATATATAGCCTAAATATAATATCCAAAATGTTTTCTAGCATCAACAATCCAACCATGCCAAAATAGTAGGGCTTTCTGTGGGTCGGGTCTGGGCCGGGACCAGCTAGAGCTGAAACCAACCCAACATGAAATATTAAGGACCCGGGGCAAAACCAGAGCCGATAAGGTCTATAATTTTTAGACTCAGAACCGGACCAATTGATCAATCGGGTCTGGGTTTGCTTTTGAAGCAAATTGATTAACAGCGGTCAAAATTTCTACAAGATTGTTGAAAACTCTAAAACTCTACAATATTACAGTTAATGCATATTTATTGTAAGTTCAACTGTCCATGAGTCCTTGTGAAAATAACTTCAGAACATGGTACAGAAATATGTGTTTGATGAGATTGAATGAACGACGGTAGTTATTATAAAAGTAACACTTAGGTAGGAGAATGTAGAGCCATCCACCATTTAGAACACGTTCAAGCATGGTACGTAGCATGTATCTATCTTCTTGGGTGCAGTTTAAATAGTCTTTCTCTCAATATAATTCAGCCCTTTTGAAGAAGGATTAATGCATGGTACATAATTAAATTCAGTGGTAGATAATGTATTCAACAACCCAATCCATTACAATCAATTGCAGGCCACTTCCTTAATTCTCTGTTAAGAGATATCCAACCCAAGCATGCACTGAGCCTGAAAATGGAACAAAGAATGCTAGATTATAGTTGGGCAAGCGACCATCTACTATGATCGAAGCTAGTGCCAATTCATCCATGGCTGCTGCAAACATCCAAGGATGTGTTGTTGTTGTTGAAGCTTTCTCCCCTCACTAAGTCCACCAATCAACCTAAGCTCGTGCTGAGTCCTCCTGGTTAGTGACCTTAAATGTCTTCATTCCTATATCTTCCTTGAGCACTCCCATTGAGTTGGAGACCTCTGCTCTATAAACATAGAACCTAGTCACCACAATGAAGAAAATGAAGTTTAAGAGGTTCAATATTGCGAAGAACGCGTAGTAGTAGTCCAAGCGAGATGCATTCAGGTTATTCAGAATCCACCCCTTGTTGCCATGCTTCTTGGTGATGTGAGAAACTGTGGAGAGAAGAAAACTGCTAAGGAAGTTTCCTATACCTAGACTAGTCATGGAATAAGAAGTCCCCAAGCTCTTCATACTCTCTGGTGCTTGGTCATAGAAGAATTCAATCTTTGCTACCTCCAAGAAAGAATCAGCCGTCCCCATGAGCACAAATTGAGGAAGTAAAATGAATATGGTTAGAGGAACTCTCCCTCCATTTTCTACTAATCCGTGATCCTTGGCCACACTTAATCTCCTCCTCTCTGTAACAGATGCAACTGACATGATTATAATGTGAAGAACAAGGCCAATTCCCATTCTTTGAAGGAGAGTGATCCCTCTGGGATTTTTGGTCCACCTCCTCATGATCTTGACGAAAAACCGGTCGTAGAGAACAACACAGATGAGCATGGATATTGTTACAAATCCGACTAAGCTTGCAGGTGGGATTTGGAAGCTCCCTACACCTCTGTCAAGAGTGGTTCCTTGCTTGACAAAAAGGGTATTGATCTGAGCTAGCATTGTGCTTGGAACAAATGTCGCGAATAAGATTGGGATCATTCGAAGAATTTGTTTTGTCTCCTCTACTTGGGTTACTGGACAGAGCAGCCATGGAGTGTCACTGTCTGTTTTAACACAAGCTTTGTTAAGGAACCTGCATGCATGGCAAACAAGGTTAGCAAGAGGAGAACACTTAATAAACTGACAAGTTATCAAGAGAGAAAGCAACTACTGACCTCAAGGAAGTTGTGGACTCAATCTTGAATTTTCCTTTCTCTTCATACTCCCTTGAGTCAAGCTCATAGAGCTGTTTAGGGTCCTTAGGAAGGGGTACCCTCCATTTCCTTATGGCAGCCACAATGACCCTTGCCATCCTAGTGAAGGGACTCCCTGTGGGCACCCTGTGCCTATAGAAGGGTGTACCAACCATAAAGATGATCACTGATATCAGAAGCCCAATTGTCGGAAGCCCATAACCAATGGTCCAACCCACATTGTCTTGTATGTACACAAGGAAAGTGTTGGCAAACAGAGTTCCAAAGAATATGCTAAACATCCACCAATTGAAGAAAGAGAGCTTATGGGCCTTCTCCTTTGGGCTGAAATCATCAAATTGGTCTGCACCAATTGTTGAGATGTTTGGTTTTGTCCCACCAGTACCCAATGCCAGTATATACAGTCCACCAAAGAACGCAGCCAGTTGTGCTGTTGATGCCTTCTTACAGTCTGCAGCATCTATTTGCTGGCAAGGAGGTGGTTTCAGAGCAGAGATCGAAACCGTTAGTGTTAGCAGACTCATTCCCTGTCATCAAAACCAAATTGTTAGAACCAAGTGATATGCATTTTTGCTGCAATAATTCTCATCTCGCCTAATAAAGTAATGGGTCAGGTAGGCCCAAGAATAGGGCAGTAATGGGTCAAGCCAGTTTAGGCCCAGCCCTCTGTTTGATGTTGTAGACACATAAGCTGGGCAACAGATCCTCCTTTATCGGGTGACTGGCTGACTGGCGACTGCCCCTCCTTGCACCACTCTCTATTCAGAGGATGGATCGGGTTTGGGTTAAGCCCAATATGTCCTGTACCCGAACCGCATCCATCCTTCTGTATTGTTCAAGTCCAAACACAAAGAAAAGAGCAGGGCAAAAAAGATATCTAACTTTTCGACTTTTGAAGAAAAGTTGAATACAGTATTAAATAAGTTATGGTCTTAGTCTTCCGTACTATATACCATATTTTATTATATTCCATACTCAATTAATAAGTAAATTGGGATCCAAAATTTGGGACGGAATTCCCCAATTTGAGGGTCATTGGGCCAATGACTTATATATTATAGAGGGACTTGGGGAGTTAGGATTTCCCCAACTCTACTGTGAAGCATGGAGTAGCATATTACCATGAGATAGATGGCAGATGCGATGAGGAAGGTCCAGTATCGGCCCAGATGTGCATCGGCGAGGTAAGCACCCAAGATCGGTGTCATCCAGACCGTTCCTACCCAGTTGGTGACATTGTTGGCAGACATGACTGTGCCCTGATGGAGCTTCCTTGTCAAATAAAGGATCAGATTCGATGATATACCGTAATACGCCATACGTTCAAACACCTCATAAACTGCCCAAAATTCAATAAATAAATGAGTCGGCAACCCGGCACTAATGTTGCAACGCCATCAGTATAATAAATACAAGGTAACAAGGTTGCTGTTGAGTGTTGACTTCACCGAGAGCCTGAGAGATATTTCAATGGGCTGGGCCCAGATTCTCAAATATTAAAGAGAAACAAAATGGGCCGGGCCCATGAAAGGATACCTTCATTGTATTTGCATGCCCCCATCCCATTCACTCTCATGCCAGCCCAGAATACAACTTACAAGACTCCATTTGATTTGAGGTTCTCTCACTCGTCTCGTCTACTGTATTTTTCACGTTTTTGGAATTTTGGGGTTTGATTCGGGTCAGAATAAATTCACTGTACTGTAGCTGCCCCGGATTGGCATAATCCTAGCTGCCAACGATATGGGCCAAGTTGGTACTTGGAGCTTGGTAGGTCATTTCATAAGAGCAGAAGTGGACCTATACGGGTTGTTGGAGATTTGTCGGCCCGGAAGCCGACCTATAATTCTGCCGGTCCAGTTCACACTGGAGGCCAGATGGGTGGGTCGGATGGCTGGCTGTAAACGACACTGCTCATTCCAAGGTGAAGTGAATGTGGAGAGAGAAATGAGGATGGGATTACAAGGCGTTGAAAGGCTGAAAGTTACTTCTTGACTGTAAGAATCTTGAGCAGTGGCTTGTGTTGATGGGATTAAAACATTGGTCACTTATAGGCTCTTTGTTTATAGAGCAAATTTGGATCAGATACAAAAATTTTGCATTTGGTTCAGTTTTGTATTTACTTGTTTTTTTATATAACTTTTGTACTTTTTTTTTATCTCATTTGCACCCGTGCAAATTTTGTATCCCAACAACTGATGCAGAATTTGCACCACCTTCTTCCTATCTCAATTCTCTCTCATATAAAATGCCGACCACATTATCATACTTCTTATACCTCACCCCCAGACAAATAAATCACATTCTCTACCTCCATTCTCTTTCCTGTAAAGTGGGCTAATTTACTTCTCACACACAAATAAGACAAGGTCAAATATGAAGCAAAAATAAACTAGAATTTACACTTGCCCTATTTGCACTTATATGCATTTATGCTGCAAGACCAACTGAGGCTTAATGGTTTTTAATAGTATTACTGGCAAAGAATTGTAATCTAATTAACTAAATATATGTAAGGACTAAACCAAATTATGACCAAATAAACAACATTATTGTTACTATAATTATTGATGAGTGGTCAATTATTGGTGAGCCAAGAATACCCCTTAAGAATAAAGGGGAGATTTGGTGAGACTGACAACATTTTTGACTGTAATACTATTTGGCTTTGGATAGGTTCACCAACGGTAACAAGAAACCATTCTGTAATGAATTCTTCCTGCAGATTTCTCAGAATACTTCTTAAACAACAGGGAAGCTCATACAGTACAAGAACTCAAGAAGGGTGTTTGGCTTCTTTAATACCAGGTGACCTTCAAGGAGTGTGGGTGTCCTATCTTCCATCAAACAGAGAGAGAGAGAGAGAGATTCATGGCAGAGCAGATACAGATTACAGAAAGAGAACATCTTAGTGGGTTTGTGGGTGTCTTACTGAAAGAAATATTGAGAGAGAGAGAGAGAGAGAGAGAGAGAGTACCAACAATAAAGGAGCAAGCTTTCCAACCACCTCTCTGGCATCTAATGACAGGGTTCCCTTTGAGATCTACAGTTCCATCCTGGGTATACTCACCACGGGCTTCTTCCTCCCCAGCCATAGCTGCTGATCTCAGTGATCAAGGATTAATTTGACCTTTTCCGATTGGAGCAGTTTCTTACAACTACTTGGCCCTCACCCTCAATTGTTGATGTCCATGTGCCCAATCCCGACCCATTTATAGACCCCTCTCAATGCTTTCATGGGCATAAGTTCGAAAATGACACAACTGCCCCGTCCCGCAATGCGATTGTATGGATTCCATTCACAATCACATTCACTACTGTTGGGAGATGGTGCAGATGATTCCATAAAGCCGTATTTGACCCTCTCTCTCTCTCTCTCTCTCTACTATATATCGAATAGTTTTGGGTACTTTAGCCGGGTCTAAGGTCGGGCTGGATTGAGTTACCCAGGTCATTCCATCTTCTCATCAGTGTTATGAGTTTGTGACTGTTCAGCCCAGGGTCAGAATTCATAGGCCCAAAGTACAGTTGGGGTAGGTGCCAGCTTGAAATTGATATCAATTTACGGGCAGGTATGTGTGCATAGAATATAGGTTTTTGATATTTTGAATGTTTATAAATTTGTAGTGGAATTCAGAAATCTGCATTAGGCTTGTTACTTTTCTGAAAAAATTAATAAGTCAGATACCAAATATTGGGTATTGATGTATATTGATAAGACCGATATTTTTACGTTTTTTTTTTACTATTAAACATGTACATGCATTTGCACGTGACACTATCCTCAAGACAAAATTATTTACAATTCATGGACAGTTTTTGAACAGTTATAAGTGGATAGTTTCTTAACTGTTATAAGTGGATAGTTTTTTGATTGAGAATAAATGACATATATGCCTTTTTTTATGCCCGTTATATGTTACTTAGATAAGGGATAAAAATATCTAATGAAAAATCCAAAAAATGGGGCTATTCGCTCTTTTATTAATAGTATAGATTTTATCACCCTTGAGGGATGTCTTTTATAATCTCAAACTTTCAAACGCCCCCCAACCCTGTGTGTATTGTTACATCCATGAGCATGAGTCTTTATGACCTTAGATATAGAAAAGATACGCCTTATCGATATTTTAATTTTTGATTGAGACCCTATGAGTCATAGTCAATTAAAATTTGAATAATCTATTTCATTTAGGCTCAATTTGAAAAGAATACAAATGCAAATATATACCCAATAAATAATACAAAATATAAGATTTTACACTCTACATATTTACATTTATACTCCTAAACTGGGCCTTAATGGACCTTTACCAAATCCAACCCGTCGACATCTTTAAAAAAGTAAACCATTTTGGACCAGAGTACAGGGTTCATGCCTCTTTCACTTTAAACTGGGCGGTAGATATGTCAAATAAGGAATTTTACCTAAATACCCTATCTGTACCACCCCAATCTTGTTCCCTATGAAGATAGAACGGTAGAACCCAAGTTTTGCATTGGACGGATCAAAGCCAGTCCACTTATTTTATCCTAAACTTGCCAGACCCTAATATATATAAATCCAAATCTGTTAGTAACAAACAACTCTAGACTAGAAATGGCAATTTAACCCTTTTCTGTGAGCCCCACTCTTCCCCACCGCGGTTGGGCTAGGTTTTTTTACTATAGATCAGAGTTCGGGTACACCTGAAAATTTGGGGATCGGGGATGGGTGGGAACGGGATTTTCCCACCCCGCTCTGACCTCATCCCCGAACCCACCCGACTATAGTGTATAACATGTTCGTTTATTTGCTTCAAACATAAAAAAATAAAAAAAAAGTTAAGAAAAAATGAAAAGCAAACCACTTACGAGAACCAAGGAGAAAAACATGATTTAAAAAGTTGCACAAACTGATGCAGGAATAATATAATTGTTTGATTGTTAGGGTATGTCAAAGAAAGGTTCAAAGTATCGATACGATATGCATATCGATAGTATTGCACTGGTACTTAGAAATGTTCAAGACATTATTTTTTTAGTTTTTTTTTTTCAAATTTTGGTTTTTTGGGAAACTAGAAATATGTTTTTAATTATTAAAAAAAGTTGGGGTTCCGAAACACCTGGAAACGCATTTCAAAGCATATTTTTTTCAAAAGATACGATACGATACGCTCAACAACTACAGTTTGCATGGATCGACTATAGTGTTGATAATTGTTGGATTTTAATCTCATTAGAAATTAAACCCAATGGGGTTTGATTGGTTAATTACATGAAAAAATACATCTACACACATGTCTTGAAAAATAGATTTTTTTACTAAAACCAGTTTTTAATTTGTCCCACGTTTGAAAATTACAAGAATTGTTTTAGGTTTTTTAATGGGAACTGATTTACACTTCTTAAATATAAAGATGAGAGTATGGAGGCTTGCTATTGTGCAACATGCGCACATGCGTTTTCACGTGTGTATACGAGGCAATGAGATGCTTTAGAGGCAAACTTTGCTCGTACCCACATAGCTCGCGAATGGCGATTTTAACGAGGTTGACCATTAATGTGATCAACGGCCATGATTCGATCATGTATGATCAAGAGACACAATTCAAAATTAACAGTCATTAATTATTAACTAACCACCTGTAATCCCATTTTCCAACAACAACCACCTATAAGAGTTTTATTTTATTTAAACTCTATCTCTTGTTTATCTTTCAAACTCCTGTTGTAATCCAAACTCATGTATAAATTATCAATCAATACAAGATTGGGACCAATCGAGCAAGGTTCCCTTTCATTCACCGTCTTTTACTCTGTTAGGGCTTCCTCACATAGTGGAAATTACCAAATATTCGAATCTCAGCAGCTTTTGCAGATGGCCCCACAAAACATCTACAACCCAAGGAAAGGAATTAGTAGTTCTTAAATTAATCTTTTGGACCATGCAGTTGGGACAAGGCTTCACTGAATTGACGAAGTATCGTTTTATATTCTTTTTCAACTACTCCGGTGGTGTTGGATCAACAGGATCAGTGTAGACATGAAGATACCAGCTTCCCAAAGACCCAGTACTGGACCAGTAGGGCACAGCTAGCTTTCCCTATGGTTTGGCTTTTGGACTAGCTGGGCGTTCATTCCACGCAACCCTAGGGTTCTGCTGATTCTCAGGTCTGAACAGACGCTTTGGAGTTTGGCCGGTCTGATCCATGTACTTCCAGTAGTGTCTGTTAAGTTACACTTGTTCAAATAAAACTAGAAATCTCATTCTCAGGCAGTTTGATAGTTTGCATCACCTTTCACATGTTAAAATATTTCTGGTCGTTGATGGCTTGACGTGGTCTTCTTAGATGTGCTTGTAATCAGAAAAATATTCTTTCAACAAAGTTTAGCCACCCTATCCATGTCTACAGCATTGAAAGACACACGAGGATAACTTAAAGTTGAAGAATAAAAGCCAATTAATGCTAATATAGTTGGCAGTCATTAAAAACCTATTGAAAATGTGGTAATGGAATCAATGTTGGGATGGATGAGTGGGAAAATAGACTAAAATGGTTTGGATAATTAGTGCAAAGGCGACTAAGACTATAAATCGGGTACCTAATTTGAAGAGTTTATACCAACGATTGGCTTATTGGTGTGTTAGCTGATTTGTCCCACAGGATCAAATCTTACTTTGGGGAAAAGGGATTAGGGGGAAATTATTAATGATGCATAGTACTGAATATCAGAAAAAAAAAAGAAGAGTTTACACTGCATTGAAAGCCTTGGGCGAATTGAGATTTTGGCAATTCCCCAACTCGAGCCCACCCAATTAAGTTGACCCCTAAAGAAGACCATCTACATTACCATTWAGAAGTGATATGTTAAAAAGTTGATCCTATGGCATTCCTTAGTTTAAGGATTGATCTCCTTTTTGTAGTTAAAATGCTCATGTGAATAATGAGTTTTTTAATGGGTTTCTAGCAAATAAGGGCAATTTTTTGCCCTGAATATCAATAAAAGATAATATTTTTATAAAATAATAAAAATAGAGTAAATTTTTATGATAAATATCAATCAAGGGCAATAATACTGTTCATCGTCTTCCTCCACCTAYGACCAGTAAAAGAGTGGGTGGGCCGATCCACATCAATGTAATTAAAAGGATTTGGTCAGTGGGGTTTTCTGGGCCGCACCAAGCACCGGGCTGGAGGGAGCTCACCAACTCCCAAACTACAATCTCCCATTCGGCTGGCAGGCGGGCGGGCGGGCGGTCGGTCAATGGAACCATCCTCCACCAGCTCCGACAATAACACTGCTTAATAAATACTACTCCCTTCCTCTCCCCTTGTGATCAGATGAGGGAGGGTTATGCAGGCTAAAGAAATCTAAGAGAAAGAAATACAGGAAGAGCCCCAGAGAGACACTATCAATGGCAACCAARCAGAAAGAGCAACAAAACAACCAGGCCGGAAGACATCAGGAGGTCGACCACAAGAGTCTCCTCCAAAGTGATGCTCTCTACCAAGTAAGCAACTTCTCTTCTCATCTAAATTTGTTCATTCTTCTCTCTCCATACTCATTCTCCTTTTAATTCGAGTTGTTCTTTTTCCTGATAAATCCGCCTCTATTCTGCAGTACATACTTGAAACCAGCATGTACCCCAGAGAACCAAAGGCCATGAAGGAGCTCCGAGAGTTGACAGCGAAACATCCATGGTGGGTCTCAATCCCCTCATCTCATATAATTTTTGGTCCATATTAAATAGAGGTTTTTGTGGGACTGCAAAGGCAAGCAACCAGGGAGCTTAGACTCCTCGCCAAGAACAAGTAGCACTCGCTGTCTTAATCCAGTGTATTCGGTTGTTCTTTTATAGAACAAGCAGGACTCGCCAAGAACAAGCAGGAGTCGCGATGACTGTTATTTTGCAGATCTGCAAGGATAATTTGGTTTACCGAACCATGCTAAGCCACGAAGGGGCAATATCAGTGTTAGTGGCTTTGTCTTAGGCCGGCATGACTCACTTTGTCTCAGTCCAGTGTATTCAGATGAATACAGAGGTAGAGGAAGAGGAAGACGATGAACAGTATCATTGCCCTTCCTTATATTTTTTCATTAAAAGTTACCCTATTTTTGTTATTGTATAAAAAATATTATCTTTTCTTGATATTCAGGGCAAAAAATTACCCTTATCTGCTAGCTAAATAAGGAATATCAAATGCAACCTAAAAGAGGTAAGGATT